TTAAAGGGTTTCTTAAGGGAATATTTAATGTGTTGTATAGCGGTAAAATTCTTTTACTTAGCAAATAATTCCAGATACCCAAAACTGTGTCAAAGCAAGGTTGTACTGGCAATCCCATATCTGCTTCATAGAAACCATATTTCTCTGTTTTTAACTAGATTTTTAGAAAGTAATAATAAAATATTGGAAATGTGCATAAAATAAAAATAGTCAAGCCCTTCTTGGAAAAAAGAAAAAGACTCTGTAGGTAGCTGGACATATTTTCAGGTATGTGGATGCGTGCCATTTTTTCACAGGAACCAGGGAATGGAACATTGGAAGGGATCTCAAGACATTTTCTGGATTAGGTATTCCTAGACTGTGTGACACTTATCACAGGGGCTATACAAAATCATTTCTAGGATGTTCATGAAGGCAGCTCACCAATTTCTTGTGATAACCTATTTATGAAGACAGTTGCAAAAAGCACAGTAGAGCTTTCTCGGTGGTGAGAAATCAGAGAGAATGGCACTGGAATCTAACTTTCAATTGGGTGATAAGAGAAGGATAAAAGGCTAGAGGCAACTATCTTCCTCATGACACTATTGTGACACTAGCAAACTCTCCCAAAAATTTCTTCGGAGAGATTTTTTTAAGAACTATTCTCTAACCAGTTCTTAGAAAAGCCAGTCAAGGTAACTGCTGCATTACTTTAACCTTTTTCTTTGCAGTACCTTTCCTGATGATGCCTTTTTCCTTAGGGCTTCATGTAGAAAAGTGTGAGGAAGGAGATTCAAACAGTTTTCTCCACCAGCTGCTCTTGGATTTCATCAATTTCTGTGAGCCACAGAGTGCGGTTGGTTTGGTCTCTGTGCAATGACAGAAATTGAGGTCTCCTGTTCAGCCCAACTCATGGTTGTCTCCTGCTCGCTCTCCTCTTTGCCCCAGGTTCCTGTGGGCTCTGCTTCCATCCTGTCAGTATAGGATTCAATGCCTATATTTCTCAGGACTGGAAAACTGGCTCGGGTCAGTGTGTTCCTCAGAGACCCCTCAATTTACATCTGTGCATAACGATATTTAAATACTTTCATGTGAAACAGCATCTCTGTTCAGTGGTTCTGCTTGCAGAGCAGGTACCAGACAGCGTGACAAGCTTTGTGAAGTCTTTGCCATCGATGTGCAACAACAGCAGCAACCTCAGGCCTTAGAGGGTGTTTTGGGAAACTTCTGGCATGTTACCTTTGGTCTCAGAAAGCTGTGAGCTGTGATATATGTCCATATGCAGAGACAGGACCAACCACCATAAAGACAGACACATCAAGAGATCAAGTTGGTCAAACCAGATAAATTTTTTCTTAACCACCGTCTCTTCCTCATTCTATTCTTCTTGCATTTACAAACTTCTGATTTCCTTTTCTGTTACGTTAGTAATCATCTATATCTATATTTACTTTAGGAACCAAGTAGTGCCTTTTTCTTCCTTTAAAGAAAACTGGATTGATATTCAAGCCTAACTGAGGGATTTTTCCTGAATTTATTTTCTTTCAGTGACTTTTAAATATAAGCCTCTGTCCTACTTCCTACTTTGTATCCCCTTTTCATTCTCCAATTCTGATGTTTCCAGTAATTTCTAATTTTTTGCCCTCTTAACATTTCGTGTTGAATTTATGCACACTGAACTGCATTCCACTGGCAATCCAGCCACATTTCTTAACTACTTTTTGCAGACTGTGTGATATTAATTTATGAGCCATAAACTGAAAACTGTAACACTACCATCTTCTCTCTGTTTTGCTAACAGCAAAATTTGACTCATTTGCACTTAGATTGTGTGTATTACAAAACAGCATGGGAGCAGAGCTTGTCAGAAAATGCTTGGGGAATCCAGTAATCATATGGAATGGTCTTATTTAAAAAAAAAAAAAAAAAAAAGCTGTTTCTCATCAGTTTTGGTGCTGTGAAGGTCCTACCCAATTTACACTGTGCACCCATTATTTTATTCAGACCCGCACATTTTCAAAAAGCCCTATTCACAGAAATCCAGAGATGGGAATGCAGAGGTTAGTGCTGGTGATCCTTGGGATGGAGAGAGGTCAGCGGCAGATCTCTCCATGAGTCAGCCTGCTGGAAATGATGGCCAAGCTATTGCCTTGTCCTTCCCATGACACAGCAATCTTGGAGGCAGAAAAGCCAGCATCACTCACAAGCCTGTGTTCACTGTGCCCATCCTCAAGTGGCTGGTGGAGATGAGATTGCTAAGCTCAGCAGCTGTCTGCTTTTTATCTGCCAAGTGGAAATGGACCCAATTGCTTTTGTGCAGGCAGGCTTTACCTTGACTGTGTCCCTTTAAATCACAGCATGTGCAATTCAGTAAGAACAAAGTATAAGTACAATGAAAGCTGGGAGCTCCTTTCAATATGGAAATGTTTCCCCAAGTGACTCAAATTAAATTTCATAAGAAGAAATCCATAGTTCCATGAAATTTATAGATGCATTATAAAAAAGAAGTATATTGCAGTCTACTTGATTTACTGTTGATTCTTTGGGCAGCACTCAGCAGAGTAAAGGAGGAATGTGATTTGGAAATGCACCGGAGGGGATTCAGCAGTATGCTGGCAGCATCAAGTTTCACCCAATTTGAGGGGACTTTCACTCTGCTTGGATACTGTAACTAACTGGGTTTACTATCGAATTACATTTTGCTGGCTCTCCTGTAAATCTGAGAACTAATGAAAATAAATGCAAATATAGTGACTTTTGCCTCATTTGTGCTCCCATTAAGCCTTCAGCTATTCTGACATAATTTGTTTCTCTTTTACTGTCTCTGTTTTTTAAGGGTTGTGCATGAAGACCAAAGCTTCTGTTCTGCAGGAGGACACACAGAGAAACAGTCCATTGGGGAGTAATCCGAAAAGCGCCATGAGTTGGATTTGAAATTAAGCCTTTTGTCTGTGACCAGTTACTGCGTCTTCGCACGCACGTAGGTGAAGCTGACCTTAGGTGTTAGGTCTAAAGAAAGGCTGTGGAAGGTTTGGGGGTATCTGAGCCCTTTGTCAACACCTTGCATTTGAAACCAGGACACCCCCACCTTGGAGTTACAATAGGTTTGCATGTCCTGTGTGCTGGGCACAGCATGGGATGCTGGCACCAGCAGGTTACATAGTAGGTGTTGCTGCCCCATATAGCATAAACTGGATAAGTGGGAGTCTGGGTGACTCTTCCTGCCTACTCTGGTGGATGCATTCAGGAAGAAAAAAAAAAACAACAACAAAAACCCCTTTTCTCCTTCCCATGAATAACTCACCTTCCATCAGGTACCAGGAGAGAGCCAAAGGAGTCTGACTCTAGTGGTCACACACAAACAGGCTTGCTTAATGTAATGTGCAAAAAACTTGCAAAAACAAACCCTGAAGCCTGTGGCAGAGGTATCGGTAAGCAGACACTTGAAAAGGCTGAGTGCTTGTTAATATTTAACAAGCAAGTCCTCATCTGACTCAGTGGCGTTGTGCTTTGTTTATCTAATCCCTAAATTCTCCAAGGGAAAAAACCCTCTCTTTATTAGCCTATGACAAATAAGTAAAGAGGAGGACCTGGAAGAATCTCACTGGATTTTCTGTTTAATAGTAAAGCAGCCTGTGTTGCACAGTCTTCCCTTTATGAGATGAAGCAATATTTTAGACTGATTTAAGCAAATCTTCTTCCCTCAAACAGGATGGTAAAAGAGGTAATATTTGCCTACCCTGAAGTTTGCAAATGGATTTCAGAACTGTCTTCAAATTACCTTTTCTGCCAGACTCATTTGTGGTGGAACTTAGGAACAAGTGAGAAGGCAATGTTTTGAGCCAGACTTAGTTTAATTTTAGACAGAGACTCATAGTTCAAATCTAAGGCCAAACTATGCCTTAAGGGAATATAGCTGTTGGAAATGTGTAGCTTTTCTAGCTACTTTTCAATAACCAGACTTCTAGTCTGTGGAAAATATAGGTTTATCCATTCTCCTGAAAATAATATTTATGGAATTTTATAGATTTGTTCTACCAATTTAAGCATCTGGGTAAAGGTACTCTCAGTGTAGGATGACACCAAATCCTAGCTGACCAAGGAAGTTCTTTCAAGCTGAGTTAGACAATGAGTCTCAACCAAGTCTACTGGAGTAGGGTTCAAAGTGTCTTATTTGGGGCCCAGGTTTTAGGATTTATTTGAAGTCTCGTTTTCATGGCCCAGCTCAGGCAGAGTGAGCATCACAGCTGATCATAGCTCTGTTTCATAAAGCCCATGTCAAAAGTGGGACCACAAATGGTCTTGCTTGGAAGCAGTCTGTACTGTGGGACACATTCCCCTTTGAAGCAGGATGGAACATGGATTCTCCCTCCTGTCAGAGGGACAATCCTCCATTCCTGATATCTGTTCTTATGAGGTTTATAAGAGCTGTTGTACTTAGTGAAGCCAGGAGTGCTATTTTTGGACTATGGTACCTGTAATTTGGCCATATTGATCATCATAACTGGTCTACTCTGGCCTCCAATCAAGAGGTCTGGAGACACACTAATGCTGCTGATGCTTTTGAGAACGCACACAGGATCACTCTCGAGGAGAAAAGACAACGCAGAAAGAATCGTGCCTTGCAGAATATACCACCTAAGGAGTCTTTCTGCTGTGCCTTTTGCAGTCGGACATGCCTATCTCGTATTGGCCTTTTCAGCCACCAGTGCACTTGTAACAAACGTGGGTAGAGCCCTTCCCAAATCTTCGTTCGTGAAGCCTAGCCATGATGATGATGATGATGATGATGATGACCTAAAATTCTGCTATGTTTCTTTAATACAGAACAGTCATTTCCTTTAAAAGTCCATGCATGGTTTTACAGTCTCACTGCCTATCCATACTTCAGCTAATGGTTTTGTTTTTTTCTTTGTATTCTGACTTTCATCTTTCTTGGTTGCCATGGTGATAGCAATACAAACATCTCCAAAGGATGAGCTGCTTCCCTTGGAAGAAGAATGGCTTACTGTACACATCAGGACTGCAGAAATGTTTAATGAAATTTTGACCACATGGTAAGCTAGTTTGGTGGATCATAAAGCAGAAATCACCATCTGGGTCTAAGGTCATGTCAGTTACATTGACATTTTATTTTATTCTCTTCCATTCTGAAGACTACATTTTGTTTCTTGTTCAGGCCAACAGGGTTATAAGTTACAAAGATTATCTGGCAATCTAAAGAGCTATTTATAGATTAAATAGAATATTTACTGCCAAAAGAAGTTTCTTCTCAGATTCAGATCTAGATCAGCTTGATTATATTCTTTAAGAAACATATTTCAGCCCTATATCCTCCTGTTCATGGTGTTTTTTATGTAAGAGATTGAACAAAACATCTCATCCCCTCCACAGAGGACAAAGAGTTGTCAGCACACACCACAAATGCAATTCTACATCTGATGAAACTGGGGGAAACTGCAAATAACTTGATCAAAGTGTATATAGGAAATGAGTGCCAGAACCCAAAATGGTCCCCTGCATGGCATCTGGTCCTGTGCTCAGACTGCATGAACACAACTCTCTTTAGCAAATGTGTCATACAGAGTGTTGGTCTCCAAAGCAGCTTTAATATGACTAACAAAGAGCTTGCAATGTTCCTGACTGGGAATAGCATCCCAGTAGCGGATGTATGGTACAAGATGGTACGTAGCAATCTTCCCACCACCGAGTGTCTGCAAGGTTAAAAAATCTCAAACTGTTCTTCAGGGTGGAAGGGAATTCTTGGAGTATAGTTGAACCTGGAAAAGAACAAAACAGTTTATTGCAAAAAAATATTCAGTTTGGAGTCAGAAGAAAAATCCTTGCCACACAAAGACAGGTGGTCTCACCCACTGTAGTCTAGAGATGAACCCAGGGTGGTATTTCTTCTCTTTTTCAACGTGCAGAGATTTAAAGCGATATGCCTTCAAATACCTCTAGCTTCAGTCTCATCTCCTCCCATTCCTGCCCTGTATTCTGGAACTGTAACTGGTGACAAAGACTCGAAAGGAAAACAGAGAGAACAATATTATGCGCATTTGGAAAATGTAGGAATAAATGTTGTTCCCTTAGGGAATCACTTGAGTGACACAATGGAAAAAAGCTCCAGGGGTGTGTTCCTGCACTATCTGCCTCCACCCTCAGTGCAAAGGCCCCTGGGCTTCCAATGGAATTAAGTCTACACTTCACGTTGCACAAGTGGTACAGGTCTTGAAGAGATCTTTCTTAACCATGAATACGTCCCATATCAGCTGTTGCTGTTTAGCAGGAGAGAATTAAGCTTGTCTTGTGCCAAATTTGGCAGCAAATATTCTTCATCTATCTTTGCCGTTATGATTTATAATTTTATAATTTTATAGTAAATTTAATATTATTGAAGATCATATCAAAGATAGAAAACATTTTTGGACATATGTGCATGCAACCATAAACTGTATAGCATTAATATATTTACTGTCTGTATTACTTTGAGGCAAATATATAGGGTAAAAATGAACATGCTATTCAAAGGTTTAAGATGTTTTTAAAATAACTCAGTTTTGCATTGAAGTACTTTCAAATTTCCTTATGTATTTGTGAAAATGACAGTTAGAAGGTGGCTTTTTTAATTTACTTGGCAAAAAATTTTAATAGCAGCAGCTGTCCAAACATGCTGCAAGACACCCTTACACAAATATACAACACCTACTGAGGCAACTAAACTTTTGAATTGGTATTTTATTTACAAGCAAACGCAGTTACTCTTGTGCTCCCATCACATACTGCCTTTTGCAGATGGTTGTGAATTTTTCTGTTTGAAAGAGTTTGGGGAGTTTCTAAGGGGGAAAATGTCAAGACTGAAGTAGAAAAGGGAAAAACTGATGTTCCAGTGCTCGACACAGCCATTTTGAATTACTGTGACTTCACTGCTTTTCAAAGATCCACTAATACAGAGTGCATGGCAGTTCAGGACGGAGAAGTTACTCTGATTTTGTATGCATGTACGTGTTTGAGAGCTGTATTACAGCAGTATAGCTGGTCACTGTTCCCAGTTTAACCACACCCAAGGCCACCTTCACCATCAATCTCTGCCCATTGCTCCTCATCAGTTCTCAAACCCAGAAAGGAGTACTCCATCTCCCTGGGCATCACAGTGGCGAAGTAGTGAGAGAGCCCTGCATGGGAGGTCCTGCTGCATGCTTATTCCTCATACAGACCACATTTTTTCTTTTTCTGGCCAGGTCTCCTTTGCATAACCACTAATTTCAGGGAGGTAAGCAGGTGCCAAGCCGTTGTCACCCTGTCTTTGATGGGTTCCTCTTTGATGGACTCCTTACCCTTAGCTTTCCCAATGGAGAACACAAGGTACTGGCAGGTTGAGGATAACTAACTCCAATGTTATCTAGATCTGTTTATGAGTTTTGCATCTTTATGAGCCTTTCAGGACAAAAAGGATCTTTATTTAATCAGTGCTTGAAAAAATCTTGTGAGGTACTGGATGTAAATGAGTTGTCAGGTATATTCTGCTCTTCACACTGCTGCTGGGACATATTGAAGCAAGTCAGACCATCATCATCTCAGGACTACTGGAGTACCCAGGCGGTCTAGAAAGGGCTCCAGACTGTTCTGAGAAATTGGCTCTGAGAATAAGCTAGTTTTAACAGATACAGCTGATTAAAATATTCACGTATTCACATTTCTGTCTCTTACACAAATGCTGGATTCAGTAGAATCTCTTTCAGGTCTTAAAACTTCATCTCAGTAAGATGCACAAACCTCATAGGGACACTTTGTACCTGGTGGGGTAAGCAGGTGCATGAGTAACACCAGCCATACTGCAAATAAGCACCATGCAAAAGTCCCTGCTGCTACTCTGGTGCTGTTATTGGATCCTTTAATTCTTATGATGTCTTTACTATCCAGTCATACCATGCATCTTCTTTACTTTTTATCTGTACCACACAAACTCTTTGCTATCCAGCCATATCATGTAATATCTCTGCTGATCTAGTCCAGGCTCTTGATAACTGCTGTACTCAGGAATCTTACAAAGCTGAGAAGAGCTGCAGACAAGTCTGAGAGCCAAGTAGCTCCCCTTAGAGTTTTATGGATCTACTGGATGGAAAGGGACAGAGTGATTCTCTCCTTTCACAGATAAAACCCCTGGGCTTCCATGGTGTGACCCTTTGGCAGCAGTGCTCTGGTGCTCCCCCTCTCATACAACAGCACTTGTGTCTCCCAGCTGGAAATACTCTGTCTCTCACAGCCCCTTGTACAATGGTGTGGGGAATCACTCAAAGTCTCTTTCTATGAGGACTGCTGTTGGAGAGCTACTCCTGTGCAGGCAAAAAGAGGGCCCATGGTCAGGCATCTCCCAGGAAAAACATGGAGTGACATGAGGCTGTAAAGAGACTCTGGTTCTTGTAAAATTATAATAAGGAAATAATAATTTCTGGAGGTGCTTCATCAAATCAGCAAAACCACATCCAACTATTCCAATAACCACTAGGAATATAACTCCTTTAGGAATGACGGGAAAAAAATAACTTAAACAGGGAAAGGGGGGAGCAGAAATGCTTCAAGAAAAAACAGGGAGAACAAAGCAGTAAACTCTGGAAAGAGAAGATGCAACAAGTAAGCCAGAGTCATACAAACACCAGTTTTAATCCATTGCTGAGAAACTGAGAATGCATCTGGTCTAACTCTCCGTAGACATGAGTGGTGGGTTTCCCAGAAGGAACGAAAGTTCAGTATGAAGCAGTAATAGGTTTAAGAGTAAATTTTCAGATGGAATTAAAATCAAGGCACTGAATTGTCTCCCAAAAAGTCATTTTGACCTCACCCTACTATATTTCTCACACTGTCACCTTATGTTTTTCTTATGTGAAAGTAAGAGCTGGCTGAAGACCATCAAGTAGTCAAATTGGTGGCATCTGAGCATAGACTAAATGTAAGTATTCACCTACTTTTCTTATCCATGGAGCTGAAACTCAACACTTTCAAGGAAATAAAAAGATTTATAGATTAGACATCCATGTATATTCCCACTCAGGTAGCCCAGTGTTCCCTCTCAGCCATGTATCAGCTCAGACACCTCAGAGAATGGCATAGAGGTAACCACAGAGGTAAGTGCATTAAAATGATTATAGTCATGATAAACTTAACAATTTAAACAGTTGTGTAAGTCTGGCCTAATCCTAATAAAATTCTCCCAAGTCTGGTAACCTAAAAATCGAAAGATTTAAAAAAATGACAACCCCCCCCCAAACCAAAACCAAACCAAACCAAAACCAACCAACAAACAAACAAACAAACAAAAAAACCCACAAAAAATAAACAAAAAACCAAACAAAAACCCCCAAACAAACAAAAAATAAAAACAAAACAAAAAACCACCTACTCAAAATTAGTTCTGCCTTAAAGACAGGAGAATTTGTGCTTTGCAGCTAGATCTAAATTCTGCCTCTCCAGGAGACAGAGCTTTTGTGTCACAAGTTCATTGTTATATTTTTAGACCCAGACACTGAAAGGTGGGGCCTGAATATAAACCTCATTGTACTTTGGTAGCAAACAGGAAACAAATGATACCTCATGGAGTTCAAGTTCAACTCAAGTTCCCGGGAAGGCTGGGGTCTGTTGGTTCATTTGTTTGTTTTGGTTTTCCCAGACACTACAGTTTTCTCATTACCTTCTTTCACAGGAAGTTTTTAGTAGCTCTTCATGTGGCTATTGTGGTGGTCATAATGTAGAGAGTTTTAAAGGCTTCAGGTAACTTTCTGGAAGAGCATCAAGGGTGGGTTAAATAACCACTCTGCTAATTTAGCTTGAGTCTTCTGCCACTGCAAGACCAAAGTTGTCCTTTGTGGGTCAAGATGTCGATATCCACAGCTGCACTTTGCTTTTGAGAAAGGTATTTGCACACTTGTCCTCACTTGCTGTTATAATAAGGCAGAGTTGTATGGTACAGAGACAAAAAAAAGAGATATTATGCAAGGTCTGGATCTGGAGCCTGTGTGCTGGACTGGCTCCTCCCAATCACATACTGGCGGTACAAGCTTCTGGCTATCTAAGGAGCTCTGTTTATGAAGGAATAGTGTGTTTTCCTGTGCTCTTATGAACCCACCAGGATCTGTCCTCTTTCCACCTCCCAGCTCCATTTATATACTTCTTATGTCTGAGCATCCAAGAGGACCATCAGCTTCCCATGTGTGAAAAACTGTGTTATAATGAGGTGTTGATATGTTTGGAGTGCTACCTGCTATGATAATAGAAATTATTAACAGTGATAGATCATTTTCCACACCCACCAGATAATAGCCTCTCTCCTGGGACAGCTGACAATCTAATTGTGGCAGAAAGAAGGGAGGCCTGAAGCACATTTCATTAGTAGTTATTGACTGAGCTAGTCTGTCTTGTCCTTCAGGAAAAAAAATAAATTACAAGAAACACCTGACAGGAAAAAGGAAAAGCCTGTGCAGTACTTTTTAAAAATCAGCACAGACATAATTAAGGATAACAATGTAGCAGCGAGTCAGTGCAACTGAACGGCATTCTCTTGTTCCACTGTGCACGACAACATATTTTCCCCAAGAGACATTTTTTAAGGTGCAAAAGTTCACCTGCTGTCTGGTAATTCACTTTGAGCTGGGACTGTGATCACTTAATGGATTCTTCTGGTGCTGGCTGCTATGGTAACTGCTGCATCACACTCTCCATAGGCTTGTTTTCGGAGGAGAGTGTAAACTGTGAGAGCAAATCTCAGATGGGTTTGTTACTGAAATCAAAATCCCAGGGCAGATTTGCAAGTCTACACACAGTCTTGGCCCACTGTGCTCTCCTTTTATGGGCATGTTTGCTCATTTGGCTTAATTTTAAATCCAGTCCTTCAGCATTGTGTGCTCAAAAACACTTCTCAGAATTGAAGCCTTTTGGGTTTGGTCTGGGTTGGAAGCACGTGTGAGATGTGTTTAAAAAAAAAAAAAAAGGCACAGAGAAAATCCTAAAAGATGAGATAAATAGAGCAGAGATTGGGTTAAAACATACAGTCCATCTGGCCTGGTTAGAAGCAAAGCCCTCTCCAAAAACAAGCAAAGACATATCCTCAGGAGCTGGGAAAGAGAGCTACCAAATCTTAACCAAATGTAATCAAAGCAGGGGTGAATAGACAAACAGTCTGGAGGAATGATTCAGAGACCTGGGAGTAGTGATTTCTGATCCATCTCCTTCATACAAGCCATACCATGAAAGGTGGCATTTGCCAGCCCCTGTGGGATCTGTTTGTAGAGAGAGGCAAGGCTGAGTGTCAGGCCTGGGATAGGATGGAGGTTTGCAGTGAGTGGGAAGAAGTAAAGTGCAAGGGGAAAGAAAGGGGAAAAGACAAGGAGGAAAGTGACAAGAGAAAGACGAGACAGAAAATTGAAGGTGGATTCCAGTGATCTGCTAGAAGCTGGCAAACATGTTCCTGCAAAAGGGTAAGCAAGTGTGGGCTGAGGTCAGATTGTGGGAGACATACAGGATAGAGGTAATAGCAGAAGATGCAGGTTCATGTCTGGGCAGGAAACAGACCAAGACCAGGAGGGGGCCTCAAGAAATCCAGAAGGTTATTCATCTGCCCATAGCAGGACCCTCCTTGTCAGGATCATTTCTCGTAGATGCATGCCTGGCCCCTTCTTAAAGCTCTCCAGCAGCAGCTATTGCACGATTTTCCCAGACCTTCCAGAGATTTTCCCTCCTCTTCATTAACATGTTTATCTCAGTACAGTCCTCTCCAAAACTGCTATCAGCTGATTTTATGCCACTGAATAATCATATAGTTGAGTATTCTAGACAGAGTACAGTACCTTTTGTACCTGCTGAATACCATAAGGATTTTTCTTTTCAGACCATTTCTTCAATTTGTTAAGGTAATTTTGAATGTTAACTCTTTCCTTCAAAGTATTTCCCGTCAGTTTGATCTCCAAATTGAATGTATGGTTTTTCTCATCTGATTTGTTAATGTAAGTACTGAACAGACATAATTCAAGACAGACTCTTCCAAAGCTCTATTGAATTCTATCGCTTTAATGTGTATCTTCTCCCAGCAAAAATGCAGAAAAAAAGATAGGAGAATGAAAAAGAAAGTGGGAGTAGGTCACTTAAGGTAAAAAATCTTTTTTGGTGGAATAAAGTAAAGTACATAGGGAAGTGGTCTGTTGAGATATTACTCCTTAAAGTCATGAGGTAAGATACAGAAGTGAGTGAAAGGACTAAACCAAACAGCCATAACTGAACTGGTGGGTTCCCAAAGCATTCAATAAAATCTCTGAAATAAATAATTTTTTGAAAAATCAATATTACCATCCAAAAAAATCCAGAAATTATACATGGTCGTTGTTCAATCAGTCAAAAGGAAAACAGTGTTTAAGAATAGGCGGACAGGTGATTGTGGGCTAGTCCTACAACCACATCAGCCAATCTGGCAAGGGTAGTAGAGCTGGAGCAGCAGTTTGTGCAGGACTGGGTTGTAGTGTTCTCTGGTACCTGCACCTGCAAACTGCTCCAGTCACCTCCATGGTACAAACCCAAGGAGAAAGGAATATGGTATGAGTAAATATCCAGTAAAACCCAGAGTAGGAGAGTGAATGTCTGAAAGTCATCTGATATTAGCCATCAGCAGAAAATGATAGAGAGCTGTTTTTCTCCTGGCTGCTGCAGTTCTGCAACCTGTCATGTGTAACAAAAAGGTTGTCAAAACAGGATCAATCTGCTTAGCCCCTAGGAAGAGAGGCAATGGGAAGAGAGGGTGGCATAATTCACATGCTGTCCTCCCTTGCTGGCCCTTTCCAGCTCAGGCTATCAGCCACTGGGTCTGCTCTAGGTTAGCCAAGCTGCAATAGCTGGGATGCTCTGACTGTCCTTGTCACGTGGCGGGAGTATTTAGGCTGTGTGATGACTTCTGAGGTGGCAAGAGCAGCCCAGTGTGAGTGGCAGGGCTGGAGGGCTGGCAGCAGCAGATCACCATGATGAGGTCTTCCTGGAGTGTGTCACCACATCCGTCACTGTGAGAGTGTAATGGCAGGTCATCAGGCAGGCATTAAGGTCATGGGTGTGGAAATGACCATCCCAGTGTTCCCAGAAACATACATCTGCTCCTGACCATCCCAAAATGTGTGATACCTCAGCAAGGACAGACTTCAACCACTTGGAGCTGGCCCCAAGCCATGGTCACTGATGATGATTCACATGCTGAGCTCCTCTTGCTCACTGTGCACGTGCGTCTTGATCCGATGCATGCTACCCAAAATAGGAAGTCCTTTTTAGCAAGATGGTTTTCTCTGGAGTCATGTTTGGGCCTCACTACTCAGCTCCTGAGACAGTAGGCTCACATTCCTTGGAGACACAGAGCTCCTCTTCCTCAGCCTACAGACACTGCAAACATCCTAGGAAGCTCTCAGCCATACAGAGCAGACAAGCTGTGATAACACTCCCTTCCCATCTATTTTGCCAATTGGCAACTCTTCTCGGGTATGCCACCAGCAATGGTTTTTCTGCCATGTTCTCTCTCTGTGGAAGTTCTCCTGATGGGACACAGCATGAGATGTACTTGAGCCTGGTCTGCAGCTAAAGGAGAGTCTGTGGTTGCAAGAAGTGGTACACAGGGGTGAGGAAAATGAAAACAGTGCTGAGGAGACACCTTCTGTGGTAGTGAAAGATATCGCCATGGCATTGCAGTCCTTCAGGTACTCTGCTGCTTTACATCCTTCCAAATGAATATATGGAAAAGGACCCCTTTGCTCTGGATTATGCTGGCAGCTGCTCATCACCAAAAAGAAATCCCATACCTGTTCTTTCAGAAAACTTGAACTTTCTGTCATCCACTGTCCTCCAAAACAGGAACATATACAATTATGCAAACAAACAAGGCCTAGGCTTCTTCAGCCTCTCCTTTATGCTTTTATGCATGAACTATACCTCAGTGTACCCAAAGGAAACACGAATTAGCCTGAAGCATCTATTTTTCAAAGTACCTGGGCACAGTCTTCTGCAAGAGAAAAATGAGTCTGAAGCTGCCTGTTATTTCCTGTGAAATATCTCTCTTGTCCGATGGGGCTGACTGCTGCACTTCTTATTTCCTTTACATATGAAGATGAAGAAAAAAAAAAAAGGCAGCTCACGGCCACCCGCATTTTCAGCTCTGTTTACTGATCTCCACAGTTTCCTCATGAGCCTCTGCCAGAAAGGCAGTTCAGCTGACTACAGGCAGTTCTCATTAATCCCCCTTATCTAAACAAGATGCAGAATGAAAAATCGCAAAGCAGGAAAGCCAGCAATTGCATCAAACCAACATTTTAGGAAACCTAAGCAAGATGCTTTTTGCAGCACATCCCCACTGATGAACAGTTGTTTCTGAGGAATTGCTTTTTACCAGTCCAAAGCACACAAATTTGTATGCCTGTAAGGACATTTGGAACATCTCTGGAAGGGCACTTCCTTCCTTCTGTGTACCCGTAGCTTTTTGCTAGAATTTCCACTGCATTCAAGACATTAATTAGCTGACTGAGGACACTGACCCTTCTTATTTCTGCCTTTTTTTAATTGTTTGCATTTCAGAGGAGCTGATAAGAAGTAACAGTGGCAATGCTGTAAGCAGGAGAGAAGCTATGACATTGCTATTGTACTTAATGCCTTCTTTGGCTGCTCTTGTGTTCAAAACAGAGCAAAAGAGATGGGGAGGGGCTGTTTTCCTTTCCGTTCCCCTTAGCCAGCACTGCTATGGAGAAAACCTCCATCTCAGCCGGTTGAGTGGTTGGTTCATTTCCCTGTTTGCATAGCTTATGGGTGAGATGACATAGGAAGAAGCACTCAGTGGCTGCTACATTCCACAGGCAGCCTGGAGAGCAGGCTGGTCTTCTGACCTGTAGGAGGTGGAGTATGACGGTCTTTCTCATGCTGGCATGCTACTGTGGAGGAGCAGGCAGACCTCTTGGCAGGTACCTCTGGCATGGCCATGCTCTGTTGGCTCCCACAGAGAGAGGAACTCTATGGAGAGCAAAGCCATTTCATGGGATCTCAGGATAATAGCTGATGTGGACAGGACAGCACATTTCTCAGGGGTGTGTCAAGTCAGATTTTGAATGTCTCCAAAGCTAGAAAGACCTCAACCTCTCTGGGCAACCACCTTCATAGTAAGTAAGTTTATTATCCACAAGACTTTCCTGTATTTTGATTTGTCCCCATTGCCTCTTGTCCTGTAACCGGGCACCATTGAGAACAGCCTGGTCCTGTCTTTACTCAACTCTCAGGTGGAGTAAATTTATGCATATGAGTAAGACCCCCCCCTTGGCCTTCTCTCCTTCAGGCTGAGCAGTCTGGGCCCTCTCAGCCTCTCCTTCAATGAAAGATGTTCCAGTCCCTTCATCATCTCCGTAGCCCTTCATGAGACACTGCAAATGAGGCTGCCAGTGACTGGGAGTTCAGAGTTGTGTATTTTGCCTTCTGATCAGCACCTCTTATGCTGTAACCACTCTGTCAGGCTGGAGGAGCCCAGCTGAAAATCACTCATATGCTGATGTCTGCATGAAAGATCTCCCAGCACATGCACATGATGCTTCCCTGACAGCATGCCAGAGTCAGATCACTCAATTTGCTTTTTATTTTACTTTCTGTGCCAAACTTGCAGACTCAGCAGCCACAGAAATATAGCCTCCAAGGCATGAAGTCAGGTTTTTGGTAAAGACACAGAAATCAGTGTTCATTTATTTTTTCTTGTTTTGGCAAGTGACATTGCCCATTGCTCATATCCCCTACTACCCATCTTCACTGGCAATATAACAAGCAGGGAGCTGACTCGCTGCGTGCTTAGAAACTCATTCCTTTTTTCAGTTTAAGCGTTGCAATCGCTGAGGCATCTAAGACAGACAGTTCTTCTAGATGTCTTGGAAACAAGTGGGTAACCTTTCTATGCTTTATTTCAATAGTGGTAACAATGATAACAATGATTCCTTCTCCTTTTTTTTTTTTTCTTTTTTTAGGTTGCTATTTCTACAGAGCATTTGTTCTCTACTCAGTGTTAGCCTAATATAATTAAAAAAAAAATCTATGGGGATATGATATTGCGGGATACAGAGAATATATTAGAATGTTAGATAGACAGTTACATACATGCTTGCATACATACATACATACACACTATGAAGTCTAGCAACCAAAATACACATTCTTTTTCCCTTGACTTATTCCTATTAGAGGCACCAAGAGTGCACTTCTTCCTGCTTTTTCTTAAATGAAATTACCAAAACAGGCTTCTGAATTTCTTGCCTTTACAGAATAATGGTCATGCACTAGGGACAGCTTCAGGGACTTCCAGGCTTCCTGTAAGACATATCTGCGCTGGTTGCAACAGTATCCATAAATGCAGGTGTGCTGGGAAAGGGTTGGGATGAAATTGCGCATTGCTGAACATCCAAACAAAGCCAAGTCAGACTGATCTTCTAAGTGGATGTAACTTCATGGTATTCACATTTCGAAGTTTTCAGGTAAAAAAGTGTTGGTAATTTGGTAAATAGTGTTATAGCCCTGTAAAACTCTGGCCAATTTCCCCAAGCTTAGGAGAAAGAGGGAAACCAAAGCAGTTAGTTCAAACAGAAAGTAAATCCCCTACTAGTCAATCCTTCTGATGGGAAAGAAAGTTATATAGACCTGGCCAGGCACAAACATATTCCATCAGGATAATTTCTGTGGGCAGAGACCCACAAACCTACAGCATGAAGGGACAGATGAAGAGACCACCACGCCCGCTGGAAGGATTACAGCCCACTGCTTTATAGCTATGTGCTGCTTTGCCAACCTGACTGAAGTTACAGCATTTCCATAATCCATGTAATGCACTGAAGAGTTATTAAGTTTGAGTAGACCAAACAGCAGTGGGTGTGACAGCAATGTGGTAAGTGCTTGACTCAGATGTCTACCACAGAACTTTAGTTTCTCATATATTTCTGTCTTCTGCGAAGACAACAAGCAAGGCTGGAACTTATTGGTCAAGGGCTCAGCATGAGGATGTGTCAGGATGACTAAACACTTGTCCTGGCTGTGGCATCAATCCCTGACTAATCTCTCCATGTCTGAGGTTTTAGTCTTTCCAATTGCTTTGTTCTCAGGAATCGCTCACAGTAGGAGAAGAGTAATATTGTTTCTGGAATAATTCCCCTAGACTTCAATTGATCTAAGATTCAGTTAAATGTGTTGTAAGTGATATACAAAATCATGAAGTTGGTCAAATCTTCTACAAACAACTACTGTTTGCAGCCTGCATGCACTGGTAGGATACAGCAGTTTCTGGCAGGACAGATTGGATGTGTCTTCTCATTCTGCAGATCCAGCTCAATGAGCCTTATAGCATAAGGTAGCACCCACACTTAGTTGTTTCCAGGAGCTAGATCTTAGCTGTGGTACTGGAAATGCTCAGATGACTGTACTATTATGTGGAGCCATATAAAAAATGAATGTCAAGAAGAAGTCCAAAGATCTTGAAGACAGTGTAAGCATAGCACAAAACCACTCTTGGATGTCCTGCTACTTATAGGCTGTGTCCATTCAAGCATAGCAAACCCTCTCTTTCTGGGGCAATTGTTATTCTTTAAGCTCTCTGGTGTTACTTGGCTTCAATAATTAACTCTGTTTATTGATATAGCTGTTTTGGTTTGACTACTTTAAAATCTGGGGATTTTTCAGACTCTTTTTGGTAAAGCAGCTCTCTGCTCAGTCAAATGTAGGGTGGTGGGAAATGTCCAGCTAAAAAGGCTCTGGGCTTTGACCGTCTTTTAAGGAACATTTTTGCCATACAAACAGCAGCAGAATTTGGTCTCCATTTTACAGTATGAAGGTGTGTTGGCCATTACTTCCAAAGCTGTGGCAGTAGAAGAAAATGCATAAACACAACCTGTATTTTCTTGTGTGTAGAGGATGGGTTCAATAAAATATGACCCAAATTCAGCTGTTACAATACACAAGCTAAGTACCTTAAAAGTAGCTAAAGCTTATTCTTTACCAGGCCAAAAGAAAGGGTTTTGAGCCAAAAAAAGTCTTTCCCAATGGAAATGGTCTTGAGAAAAGGTGTGAACACTTTCTACAAATATTGCTTGCCTGTGGTTTTGGATCAATGCAGCTATAATAACTCTACTAAGAAAATTTATTTTGTGTTGTAAACTCTGGTGTCAATTTAAATCTTGAGCTGGGTTGCAGATCATGGAGGGAGTTGAATGTTTGCTAACACAGATAATGTCTCATAATGAACTAGTGCCTATTGGTAACAGCAGTTACTGATTTAGCCATATGATTAGCTGCCATCTGTGAGAAACTACCTTTCAATAAGTAACTCAAAAGAGGATTAAAGCCTTTGTCTGTGGTTTGTTTTGCTGTTATGCTCTAAAGATTTTGATTCTCCCCCCCCCCCCCTTACAAATACCAGCTAAAAACAAGTCTTACTCTGATGTTTATTTCTTTGGAATTCCTTTCAGCACCTATCTGCAAGTGATGGAGCTAAAAACCAGCAGTTGTATGGAGGGAACTATTATGCTGACTTTCTTCTTAAGAATTCTTTGATATTCTTAATGAGATATGAAGAAGTCCTAAAATAAGAAGTAAAAGTCTTCTGAATACGTTGCCATCTGCAGGTCCCCCTAAAATCCTCCTACAATACACACATGCAAAAAGACACTGTGTCTGGGACATCAGACACCATTATCCTTCTCTGTTATGCAAGAAAATGATTGCAAATCATGTTTGTAAGGAGATCATTATACACTTAGTGAACCTAAGCTGGTGTTTGGGAAAATTTTAGCTGCCATTAGAAACTGAATCTCAAGCTAATATCATGTTTCAGAAATGGTCTGACACAAGCCCCGAAGGAAACTGCCTTAAGTGAGTTTTTTCTGGATCTATATGCTGCGATATACAATATAGCTGAGTCCTGACATTGCAAAGATGCAATACCAATAACATATGCAGGAAGAGAGTATCCCTGTAACAGAGATAGATACTTTGATTTGAGTCTCCAGGCTTTTTCTACCTACCTTCCCAGTAACTTCTAGCCTGAGCTGTATGAGGCAAGAGAAGGAGAACTTCCCACATTCATTCTTGCTTGAAACAAAAATCATTTCTGTCCAAAAG